TGTGTGTGTGTGTGTGTGTGTGTGAGAGAGAGAGAGAGAGAGAGAGAGAGAGAGAGAGAGAGAGAGAGAGAGAGAGAGAGAGAGCACAGGTAAATCTTTAACCTCGCGGCTGGCCTCACACGACTTCCATCAATACGATAAGCAAAATCGAATGGATGGCCTCACGCAACTTCCATAGATAGGATGAGCAAAATAGAATGGATCTTTCCCTAGAACATGGAAATATACACTGCCCGCTTTCTGCAGTCGACGGCAAAATGCGAAAAACCACCCACCAGACAAAGTACCATAAAAGCGGTCTGGACCCTCCCTGACTCAAACCCTTGCCTGTCCTCACATTTTTTGGCATCGCTTCCCCTCGAAACGCAACGGGAGACAGCCTCGACTTCCTGCGGCCAATTTCATGGGACACCTCCTGTGCCGTCCAAACGACGTGCGGGCTTTATTTTTGCTGGGCCCAAAGGGACTGTCTTACGGGGACCGCTTTTTCCTTTAGGTATTATATAGATCGATAGATAGATAGATAGATAGATGGATAGATAGATAAAGGGGCAAGGGCCTGGCCCTTGAGATATCATTTTTTAGCTGACCAGCCCTAGGCAGCTCAGCATTGTAGTATCTGCGTCATCTGCGCTTAGCGGAGTTCGAACTCGGGTCTGTATTTCAACAGTTCAGTTCGGGGGTGTACCAACTGAGCTAGGTCAGTTGGTGGTGGCATTCCGGTCTTGAAGTTTCGCAATTTTGTTTTCTTGGGGGGGAACAAAGAAGAGAGAAAGGTCAGGTGTCTGATTTGGCAAACAGGGTAGGACGATTATAGGGGGCGAGGAGAGAAGAGGAGAGGAGAGGAGAGGAGGGGAGAGGAGAGGAGAGGAGAGGGAGGAGCATTTCATACCCGCCCTTCTTGCATTAACCAGCCCTGTTTCCACAGCTTTTGTGATTCTTCGCTTCGGAGGCATACGCTGCTGATGTCGATGGAGCCCCCTCTGATGCTCCCTCTGGCGCTTGTGCTGCCGGAAGCACGGTCGGACCATGCCTCGATCTGACCGGAGCTGCCTCCTCTGGAACTTGTGCTGGTGGCTACTCCTTCAACCCGTGGACTGCTGGCCCTGAAAGAGGACCTCCTCCTTTCATTGAGATGGCCATAGCCAGAGGCAGACGGTGCTGTAGATGCTCCTGCTCCTGCTCCTGCTCCTGCTCCTGCTGCTGCTCCATCATTATCCTTTGAATTGTTGCGGGATAAAGAAGACCACCGCCTCTCTGTCACCAATGGTGCGACTGCAATTTCTGTCTCTGTGGCTAGGGGTATATCTGAGAACTGGGTGGATGTGTCTCTCGCCTGGAGCGAATAGATCAGGGGCAAACACAAAACAGAGAAGCAAAAACAGAAAAGGGGTAAAACAGAAAAGGGTAAAAACAGAAGTGAGTATAGACCAGGGGCATAGTACTTCAAAAAAATGGAGACAGTAGTGGCCAAAAAGCGAGGAGGCTATTTTTGTTTTTTCAAAGTTGAAGTTCCTGCAACAAACGTGTGATTTCAAAGAACAATGTACTTCAAATTTGATTCAGAAGAACTACTCACTCCAAACCATGCTCAGTGGCACAGATTACTCAGGGTACTCAGTCTGCCAGCCTTGACTACCCCATCAGTACATACAAACAAGAGAACATTAGTGGAGTCCTCCCCAGGGGGCTACAGGGAGGAGTTCCACATGTGGGCACCTATTGGGATGGAAAGGAGATGTAACGGAGAATATCACGTTCAGGACAGAATCTCTGCCAGAGACAGGGCGTGAGGTGGGAAGGGATCCGGAAAATCCGAGGGAGGGCGTAGTGGGAACGAGGGTTCTATGTTAATCCAGTCCTTGAAAACTAGGCGGTAGTCTCTCATTTTCTCCAAATCGCGTGGCCCTTATCCCCTCTCACCACTCCATTCTACTTTTGCAATCCATCCTTCTCTTTCTCCTCCTACCCATTCTGTGCAAAATGCCGTGATCCGTCTCCTAGCGTCTCCAGTTTGTCTGAAGAGGTCTAATTGTGATTTTGTGTCCAACCATTTCCGTGTGAGTTCAAGGTGAACCTGCTGCTGGATCTGTTCTGAAATCTCTGATCCCTCCACCCGCACCTTCTCCATGGCCAGGGTGCATCGTTGCCACCAAAGTGTCCATATCACCGCCCTCCTTCCCAATCTTTACATATTCCCTACGAAGGTCGAGGCTGTTCCTGCCAGCGGCCAATGCCCTGCCAATATGGCTTGCCATGACCACGGCCAGGGAATGTCGGGTTCCATTTTCCGCCATATGCGGTCCCACCATCTCCATATGAATTGGGCAATCGGACATTGCATGAAGATATGCTCAATGGTCTCCGCCTTCTTGTGGGAAGGGAAGAGACTTTGACACCGCTGACACCATGGGAGCAATAGACCTCTTTGTTGGAGGGTTGTACAGTCAGTCAACCAGTCATTGGTTGGTAGACAGTGGTGGGCTATTTGCCACTGTAGAGAGGTATGCGTGCCTCGTCTGGCGGGATGTACCGGGGTGCCGATCCACAAAACATACATCCAGGCGGATCGACCGCATCGCATGCAAGGTCTGATTTGCCTGCCAGTAGATGGATTTTCTGCGAAGTTGCATCCCGATACATTTCGCCAGATGCGGCTGCATGCTTGCCGCATGGTAGAAAAATGGCTGGGAACATACTGCTGGTTAAACCTCAAGTACACGGCCCCAGCCTTGCAGAAAGTTTTTGTCGCCACAAGCAAAACTCGGAGGGGCCGCACGGCGTGGGGTGCCGTTGAAAAAAAAAATGGCGGCCTCCAAAGTGGTGCGGGTTTCGTGCTGACACCCGCGGGCCGATGTGTGGTGTACTGGTGCTTTAAGAGAGGCCCCAATGGTTAATGGGTTTAGAAAGGGCGCCTTTTAAGGTGGCTTGTTTTAAGGGCCATCTTATGCTCTTACCGGCTTATGCGATAAGAGCATAAGAGCATTTCGATTCGGGCCTGGGCTGTATGGGGAGTGCCAGGCCACTTCAAAAAGGCACAGTTGGAGGGTTTCGCGGTAGCTTCGTCAACTTGAACTCATGTGAACTGGTGGTTTAAATTAGATTACCAGTACTTCCGATGCACTTTCCAGGGCTGGAGGCACCTTTGAAGGTAACTTTTCAACTTGAGGTCATGTGAACTGGTGGTTTAAACCACCAGTACATCTGAACCTCTTTTGCACAAGGCTTCCCACTGCGCACCAAACTTTGTCAAAACTTCAGCACTGCGCTTTTGTCTTAGTTTTGGTTGACGCCACCAGCCATTTTTATCCAGTGCCCCCCCCTATTACCGGAGAGCCTCAATTGTGATTCGCAACTTGGTTGAGGCCATGTACTGGTGGTTTAAAGTTTAAACCACCAGAGAATGGTCAACCTACTGGTAGGCACAGGGTCGGCATCGATAGCTGAGAGAGGTACTGGTGGTTTAAACGACCAGTACTTCCGAGGCACTTGGTAATGTGTTGTGCGCCAAAAAAAGAAACGAACCAGCACGGGCCTCCTTTTGGCTGGACCCACCAGCCGTTTTTCTCTAGCGGCCGAGCCCCGAAAGTTGCTGCAACATGCAAGCCATAGCAGGGTAACGTATTGGTGGTCTCACCCACCAGTACCTTTCCCAGTCATTTTCCAGAGACCAAACGTAATGGTGGTTTAAACCACCAGGACCTTTCCCAGCTATTTTTCAGAGATGGGGCTTCTCAATGGCCGCAATTTTCTGGGTCGGGCCACCGATGAAAAGTTTCATCGGCAGCCCTTGCCACGTTTCGGGCCTCCGAAAGTGGCGGCGAGGGGCCTGCGGCCTATTTGTGGCCAAGGCACTGGTTGTTGAACTATGTACCTTGTCTGTACAATCACCCTGTCCAGTACATAGTTTGTAGGCTAGGCATGGTACATAATCATGTGCTCTAATATGGCATAGTTAGATTCGATCTGCAATCGTGTGTAACCTATACGGAGTCATCCGAACTACGCGTGTGCAGTTTACATGTGCTTCTCTGATTATATCAAGAAGTTCTTTGTTGATTTTTGTCAACGTATGCACTCTGCTTGGGTGCATCAACCAGTAGAGTAATCCCTTTCTCGAGTAGCCACACACACCCTTTGTTCGACACTACAAGGGCTACCACCCCCCAAGTGGTCTCCCTGTGTTAGAGTAGGACAAGCACAATCTGCTATATTGCTCCTCCCAAGGCTATTCATCCTGACATTGTGACGCCCAACCTCACGCCCGGCGCGACTTCCTGTTCGGAGTGGGAGTGGGCCTGGAAGTGCGAAAAAAGGGGGGGGGGTGCCAAGGATTTTTGGAAAGTGGGGGTGGAGTCCCAGGTCGGAACTGGGATCTCCTGTGACAAGTTTCAGGGACAGTAGGTGCGGGTCGCGTTTGGCTTTTATGCCTTCGGAAGTGAAGTTACCATCCCCGCGGGTTTCCGCGGCGGGGCCGGGTTCAGATTTGATGAACCAGTGGAACGCTATGGGGGTGGCGCTGCCTGAACAGTTGCTGACATCGTTCGTGGCAAGCCTCAGAATCCGACGAGGACGGCCACAGTCGGAGGCTGTGTGCTCGCTGCTCGGCCTCCGTCCGGGTTCGTCGAACAAATCCCGCGGCTCGGTACTCGCTGTCTTGCTGGCACTCGGGGCACGAGGTTCGGGGCCAGTAGGGGGTGATCGCGTGCCAGGGAACAACAGTTAGGCAATGGAAAGGCAATACGAGGCGGTAGGGAGGGAAGTCTGTTTCAAGGATGACGATACGAGGTTCGGCGATGACGTGGGTTATGTGTGAGTTGAGGAATTGGGAGGGAAAGGAGATTGCGCTTAAGGCCTGTTCAATGTCCCATTCACAGACCCGTTCGTCTCCTGTCCGATAGGGAAATTTCGGAGGATTGGGTCACGGTCGTGCGAGAAGACAGACGTTCTCCCACTCCCAGTGCTCCCGGAATCGTCCGTGCCTCAGACTTTCTCGATCCGTGATATAAAATGGAATTTCGTTATCCATGCTGTCATAACTTTCGTCATGACATGCGTGTGAACAACGTCCTTCTCGGTCACGCTTACACGTGCGTGCACAAGATCGCGCTCTCAGCCGGATGGACCCGGATCAGATGGCTATTTTATAACGGGACAGTTATCTGAGTCAGAGAGCGATTATGCATCGAATCGAATGTTCGCTCATCGATCGAGACATACATCCACCGAGACGGTCAAATTTCCCATCAGACTTGTCCATACGACCGCGAAAGAAAATGGGAACGAGAAATCAACATGTTCTCATGCATTAAATGAATTTAAATCCATTCATTGATAAGGAGAACGACATGCATTCCCATTAAGCCAAAAGGCTCGCAAAGATCTAACGCAAGCGCTCGGGGGGGCCGATACACCCATATTCTCAATAAGGAGGAGGAAATGAGGGAGAAAAGATCGGGTGTAGATGTACAGCCGCTCGGGTAAACGGCGACCCTCAAGGCCGAGCTTTCTCGGATGGGCACACTATTGATCATACGATTTCTTAGAGAAGAGGGAAAATGAGGGCGAGAAATCGACGAGTACACATACATCACACCACTTCAGCCAAACGAGTCATTCATTCACATCATCATAGCCCAGAGTGCACATAAGACATACTCAGCCAATCATCGTACGCAATCCGACGAGTCATAGAGAAACAGAGACTCGGATGGAAAATCAAATCCTTCGTCATGCACCAAGAAGGAGGAAAGTCAGAGATAGCCGCGAGCAAAAAGATGGTTGGCGCCAATTGTCAAAATTTACATAAAGGAGGGGAGAAAAGACACCATCCCGACACGTGCTCTCTCTCTCTCTCTCTCTCTCTCTCTCTCTCTCTCTCTCTCTCTCTCTCTCTCTCTCTCTCTCTCACTCCACATCACCTCCGATNTCTCTCTCTCTCTCTCTCTCTCTCTCTCTCTCTCTCTCTCTCTCTCTCTCTCACTCCACATCACCTCCGATGCGGGCAGTCCGTCGCCTCGCATCAACATAGAGTTGTCACCCCGCTTAGTCCGAGCATGCAAGCCAGGTTCGCCCATGGGCCACAGTCCGTCGCGGCCCACACGTCAACTCCGCATACTTGGCACCAGCTCGTCGGATCGCCCAACTCTCTTGTCTACTCACCTTTCGAGCTTACTCGTTACCCGATCCTCACTGACCGCGCTAACTTCCAATTCATAGAGAGCAAACTAATCACGCTGGCGAAATTTATAGCATGCATGCTTGCGCTACAAACTCGGGATTATGCCTGAGCAGGGGAAAAGAGGAAGTGCCTACGTTATGCATGGCCAGGCCGCGGCGCGGGGGACGGAGCCACTCTTCGCGCATTGATCCAGTCATGCAACGTTGGAACCAATTAGAACAGAGAATGAAGCTTGCATGTGCGGTCTAAGGTGGGGCCGGGAAAAAGACATCAAGAACGAGAAAATTACAGTTGCAATCACACCCGCCAAAAGTTACAGTTACTCGTAGGATTAAGGCGAGGAGAAGTCGGAGCCCAGATCCTGCTATGGTAAGGCGCGCATAAGCGAGGAGCGTCGTGCAGCCAGATTGCGAGGTACCTAAATTCCTAGCCTAAATCCTAATTACAAAAAGAAATGCCGAAAGCAAACAATTTCGATAGCCCGCAGGGGCTCGACACTAGTTCGAAAATTAAAAAACGACGTTTCCGCGCGATGATCGCGCCAAAATTCTCATTTTCCACAATAGAGCAAGAAAGAAACTATGGCAACAATTATCTTTTGTACTCGCCAAGGTGCGCTCACTTTAACTGCCTACCCAGGACTTTCCCGGCCCTGGTCCGCAAGTCCAAAAAGAAAGAAGCGAGGGCATCCTTGCAACTCGTCCGACCGACCCATCCTCATGCTCCTCACCCGACCAACCCGTCCGAACCCATGAAGCAGCTTCACGCAGAAAGTCGCGTGGTTACGGAAAACAGTTCGTCACATATGTGACACCTAGGGGGTTCCAAAGCTTGCTCCTTCAATCGCCCGTCGATCCCGTGCGATCGACGCAGAGTTGACACGTGCCACTTACCATAAAACGAGAGTGTAGAAATCATTCAGGTGGCATTCGCGACTCTGACCTAAAGGTTGTCGGGGAAGGGCAGTCTGATGACGGGAGGAAGTGGGGAGGGTGAGCTTGGGGGAGGGGTGGTGGGAAGCAACTCCGCTCCCGATCCCCAGTGGGGAGCCGGGTGTAGTGGATGGTGCGATGTATCCGGGAGAAGCGGTGATCCTGATGAGGGAGGGAGGCAAGGTAATCGGGATAGAGAGTGCACAGCGTGCGGGGGATCGCGGCACGAAGATCCTCATACCCTTCGCATGCGGGGATTACGCCCGAGATTATACAATATATTTCTATATTGTTGTAATCTCGCCATGCCATGCTGAAAAGGAGGACGTGGAGGGGGAAATTGGTTACGATGGATTGAGTGGGGGCATGCGGGAGGATGGTGACACCAGGACGAGTAGAGTAAAGCTGGTGGAAGAGGAAAGGGGGAAAAGGATACCAGTTGGAGGGGAATGGGGGTCGTCCCGCGATTTGGTGGATGGTGAGGTAATCAAGGGGACGGCGGGATAATGATCGGGGACGAAGCCCGAGTGCCCGCATCTCCACATAGGCGAACGGTGGGCCTCTGTGGTGCAGGGCATTGAGTCGGCGTTGGACTTCTTCTGCGGCGTCTGCTTCTAGATCCCTCCACGGTGGCGACGCCATCTCCTCCGGATTCCTCTTGCGGTAGCTCCGGGTTGAGCGCTGGATCGTCTTGCAACAGCCTCTCGCCTGGCTTGTCCGACTCCTGTACGGGGTGCTTCCCTTCTACCTTCTTCCTTCGCCTCTGAGCCACTGCTTCGTCTTCCTCCTCACTCTGTTCGTCGGAACCGCCTGATTCTTCCGACCCACTTCCTTCCGACCCTGTTTCCTCCGATTCGCGATTGTCCGGGTCGTTCGATCCGGCCTCCGAGTCTTCTTCTTCTTCGTTTGTGCCTTCCCTCTCTTCCTCCTCTTCTTCTCGTTCTTCTTCCTCCTCTCCCGTTCCTACCTCCACTCGTCGAATGACCGGATCCCACAAGGTGATATCGGTCACATCGATGACTAAATAGTCGCCCGTTGAAGGGAGGTAGATATTATCGCTGTCAAGTTTCGTGCACGTGGACCACAATAGTTGTGGGGCCAACGTTCGAGGGAGCGCCGTGGGCGTGGATCGTTCGTTGCAGCACGAAAGGATCTCCAAAGGTAGATCGTGCACAAGTTGGGCCAGGAACACCAAAACTTCACTCGTAATTGGCTCGAGGTGTCCGTCGCGCACTTTCCCGAAGAGTATCCCCAACAGCTCCCCCTCCGTGTCCGTCCTCCAGGCTTGCACGATCAGCAGCTCCACGTCATCATCGGGAACTTCGTCCTCCTCGTCTTTATCCTGCCAGCTCGGCCCAATGAAACACCAGCTCGAGAAGGCAAAAGTTGAGCGCAACGTACGCGTGCCACCACTCCGCCCACTTGCTCGCGTCCAGGATTGGTGCGTCCAGCCGCCTGATTCAAAAGGAGAGGGGAGGGTCCATAGTGAACTGCCAGAAGGTAGGGAAATCGAAAGGAAGCTCGAAGGTCGAAAGGCGGCGTAAAAGGAAGAAGTTGCGGGAGGAGTCGGAGGACGATCTCTGACGCGTCAGGAGACATTCAGAGTTGGCTGAGATCGATGTCATTGGTGGAGTTGATCCGATCACCCGGTGGGGCTAACAGCTGAACCAAGGCGGCCATGAGATCCTGCACCCAGAGTCGTGACTACCGGAAAACACTTGGATGAGCCGTCGGATGCAAAGCAGTAAGATCGCCGATGAAGGCGACGATCGCTGTCACGTGGCTGACACCCGGTGGAGACAGCCACAGGAAAGTCGACACCTCGGCCAATACTCTTGCTCGCTCGCTGGTTTGCGCGAACCAAAATTCCGTCGCCGCGTGGATGGCCGCCGTACTGAAAAAAGCCGCAAATCGGAGCAAATCTGGCCGTTGCACCTGTCGTATCGACGAGATGTGCCCCCTAGGTCTCATTAGTCGTTCGTTGATGACCTGTTCAGTAGAAAAGCTCATGGCGATGGGGGAGAAGGTGGAGATGAAGGTTAAGAGGGAGGAGAATCAGATTATTCGAGTTCGAGGTCGTTGTCTTCTTCTTCGAAATCGAAGGAAGACGTGGACAAGGGAAGAGACGGAGAAAGAGTTAGGGGACGAAGATAGGACACATGTCGGATGATCGGTCGAGCCGATCGACTTCTCGAGACCTCTGGTGCAAGCCGCACCGTGTTCACTCCGCTAGGACCGAGCTCAACTACTCGAAATCGCCCAAAGAATCATGGCGCTAACTTGCCTTGGCGAGCACATTTCCTCACCTACACTATATCCCCTAATTTGTACTGGGGTCAGGGTCCAAGGTTCCCATTTCGGGCCTCGTAGCTCCGGACCTGTCGTCCGTGGGCCATTTCGGTCATCCGCTGTCTCTTTCGGGGTAACCGAGGGAGGGCCCTTTCCATCAATTCCAGGTGGTGTTGGGCCTTATCCTTAACCGTCGCTCTAGTGGCCCGTTGCGGGAGGGTCGTTTCATCATTTAGCCTCGGTAGGGCTACACAGGCCAAACTATTGGTCTGTAATTGAAAGGGGGTCAGACCGGTAGAATCATGGGGTGTTCCCCGATGAATAGCCAGGATGTGGTCCACGATATCAGGCCAAGACCTCGTGTTTCTCGCCGCGATATTACTCCTCAATGCCGTCTTGATTACTCGGTTTGTGTTTTCTACTAGTCCGTTCGATTGTGACATATGGGGGCCAGTATTGCGGATGGAGACACCATGTAGAACCAGGGTCCTCAGGACTTCCCCTCTGAATCCTGCCCCGTTGTCCGTTAGGATCTCCTCTGTGTCCTTATGCATTCCGAGAAAACGGTTGATATATGGTGCGATCTCCACCACCTGTTGCATCTTGCAAGGATACGTCGCGATCCATTTAGAAAAATGATCTACAAATACCAAAATAATTTAATATGCACAGTTATTTGGTTCAGGAGGTACGACAATATCCATGGTATCAATGCTAACCCTTTGAAACGGCCGTTCAACTATGGTGGGCACTATCGATCTAGGCGGCTGAATCAGCGCCTTGTCGACGGCACAGACCAGACAATTTCGGACGATGAATTTAACATCGTCATGAATATTGGACCAATACCATTCATTTTTATCAATCACCGCCTCCGTAATCCGGACGGCGAAGTGGGTTGCAGTCTCCTTGTGCGCCGACTTAACTCAGTCATACCTCATGAACGGATGAGGCACGACCATCCAAATTTCACTACCGTCTATCTTCCATTTTTCTAACTGTCCCTCGTTCCATCGGTAATCCCGTACCCTCTCATTGGCCACTGATCCTCCTTGGTGAATTCTCGGAGGGGGTTTCCGACCACTGTAGCTATCAAAAAGACATAGGTCCACACCTCAACCCTCCTAAACATACGGGCCTTTTTCAATCCCTCGGACGTGGCTTCGAGGAATCGAGCTTCGGTCAGGATTTTATCAGTCCGGCATAAAGGGCATGGCCAGGTTCTGTCCGCGTTCCTGTACTGAATACCGGAGTCGTGGGCCCTGGAGACACACTGTTTACAATTTACCCATTCGACATATCCTTCCCTGCTAGGACGCATAGGAACCGAGTAAACACGCGAGATTGCTTCGCAAACATAACAAAATTTGTCGGCTAGGGAGGGAAAAGATGAAAATGAGAGGGGAGAGAGGGGTCCTTATGAATTACCTCCACGTCCCATCGCCATCGTGCCTGTCGATCACTGCTTAGAAGTTCGAGGGAGGATGGCCACTTGTCCGTACGAGGGCCCAACAGACTCCGGTTCCTTCCATGGGGTGATCTCCTCGCCCTTGGCCACCTTGTTGTGTCGGTGCAACCGTGTCAGCCCGCCAGCGTTCCCGTGCTTCTTCGTCTTCCTATGGACGATATCGAAATCGTATTCTTGCAGTCGTACAGCCCAACGTCCAATCATACTCGTGTAATTGGTAAGCTTCTTCATGGCCAGGAGAGGCTCATGGTCCGTGACGAGGAGAAATTTATGTTCGTACAGATACGGATGGAAGTGTTGAATTCCCCAGACAACTGCGCAGCATTCTCCCTGAGGAGCCGAATCATTCCTTCTTTCGTCGGGCACCGTTCGCGAAGCGTACTCAATAACATGTTCACGACCGTCTTTCCATTCTAGAGTCAAAATAGTGGAAACCGCCTCAGGCTGCCAGTCCGTAATTTGTATGAACTGCTTCTCGGGGTCAGGCCGGATTAAAGTTGGCGTCGTGGTCAAAGCCTCCTTCAAAGTGACAAAGGCCCGTTCACACTCAGCGTCCCAACTCAGTGGCTGGTCCTTCCGCAAAAGATTCGTTAGAGATCGTGCGATTGCTGCGAATTCCTTGTCAATGATAAATCGGTGGTAGTACGAGGCCAACCCTAAAAAGGTCCGGACCTGCGTCAACGACGTAGGCGTGGGGGCGTCTCGAACAACCGCGACCTTTCTCGAATCCAGTCTTAAGCCTCCCCGGGTCACCACATACCCTAGGAACGAGATATCGGAAAGGAAGAACTCGCTTTTCTCTAGTGCGATCTTGAATTCCGGCATCTTGAAGTGCCCCAAGTGTCCACTCGATATGTTGCGCGTGTCCTTGAAAGGATTTCGAGTACACCAGGATATTGTCCATGTACACAATGACGCAGAAATTGATCATCCCCTGGGTCAGCTTGTCTTGTTGATGAAATTTTGGAAGGTGACATTCATAGCTCTCTGGAAAGTAGCTGGCGCGTTGCAAATTCCCATCGGGCAACGAACCCACTGCCAGGTGCCTTCGAATAATACAAAGGATGTCTTCGTCATAATATATATATATATATATCGTCACAAACAGAATATATATATATATATACAGGGTAACCGACATTCGGGACAGGCCGAACGCCCGAAAGTATGGGACCCCTTGGGGATGTGTTCGGCCGTTCGGGCCGAACACGGACCCCAAAAAAAAAA